CAACATCCGACATGAACGTCAAACGCTATCAAGAGCCACAATCTCTACAGGAGCCTGTGTCATGTCGTTCACGATATCCTGTGAGTATCATGCCATACTACCTCGTATCTCAGAACCCTTGGTCGTGAATGCTCATGTTTCACAAGGAAAACCCGAGACAAGTTTTCGAATTTGCAAAGCCCCAATCAACAACTACACGATAGATCGACCCGTATTCCAAAACACCATGTACGCAGAAGGCATCGAAACCTCTCTCAAGCGAACTTTAACGGCACCCAGCACCCGATCCTCGGCCGACACCCCGTAATCGTCCAAAGCTGCGTATCAACCCGTAATGTTCTCCATCACTCGGTAGACTAGGCATGTCTCTCACCACCCGAAACACACCTCATCCCACAAACAGAGTCCATCGCGAGAGACTAGTCTCGCGGAACAAAAAGACTACATCTCGTATCCTCTCCAAACACTTCTCTCCGAGTCTCGACCGTTTACACGACCTTGTCTCACACACCGAACCACAACGCCCCTCCACAAAACGTCAACGTCAATGCATCACATACAGGCATACCTACCTGCAATCGACCGCAAAAGTTTTGCTTTTTTCTCAACGTACGAGGTCGTAAAGCCGCTCATTGCATATTCTTCTAAAACATTTCCTTCCCAAGGCTTCCACCAGTTCACTGGCCACCTCCATTTACGATCCCGATCTTGCCGTAGAATCGTACTCCAGCTCCCCCAAAAGGTATTCCCGAAAGGGACCGCACAAACGGTCGGGTACCTGCATTAGATCCCAAACGACCTTCCAAGGGACTTCAGGCTTGATGGGAACGTTGCAGAGGCATGTGATGAATGCAACGGCTACGCAACGAGACCCGACTCACCGAGCCTGACAACCCTTCTCCCCCGCGGCCTCCGTAGCCTGACATCTTGACATTCACGCTCATGCAACGGTTATCGCACGTCCAAAGTAAAGCCGAGAAACAAGCTCCCTCGTCCAATAACTCGTCAACGTAGCACAGGCTCGTGCTACAAGCATGAACGATACCGAATACCATCTTACCGTGAAAGATCCCATCCAACCCATCACAAACACAGCCCTTACCCCCCTTCTCCAGGAGACCAGTCTGTTACACGGGGCAGTGATGGGCATCTCGAAAAGCCGGCAGCACGGGGTATCCGTACCCGCCCTCATTACGGCAGATCGCCATAGTCGAGTTGGCGATCACACTTGGCCAAACTAGCAAGAGCAAAATAAACAGCGTTCCGTTTCACAGCCACCTCCTCGAGCCCCGCGAGAGTAGTGTATCCGTATCCGTAGAGTACTATAGCCAGGACCTAGAGGCTAGAAAGGAAGAGAAAAAACTAGATTAATGCCCCTGTCTGCCGAAGCGAAGCCGCGAGCGAGCCAGAGAGAGGGAGAGCTGGTAAGCAGGAGGAGGGATACCGCGACCAACACAGTTCAGCCTCGTGTCATGAAACCGAACCATCCCCGCCCCCACTGGCCGGCTCTTCCATCGCTACCATAGCTCGCTCAGTCTCTCTGCCAAACCCATGATATCCATCTCGATATCCGTATCTCTCCCCACAACGGGAGGGAGGGGATAACCAGGCAGAGAGGAGGGGATCGAAGAAAAGACCCGTCAGTCGACCAACATTTTGCCGTCCGCATCGCGTTTGTGCGGAACTGCCGGGCATGTGTTTTTTTCTTCTCTCGACGAACCAGCTTCACAGCCACCCTATACGTCACGGTAAGGCTCGCATAAAGAACGCGATGCTGAGTTCGGATTGTCCATTATGCATGTTTGGCGGGGTATGGCATCGAAACAATTAGGGATCGGAGGCCTAGGAGATTTTTTTTCCTTCGCCCCTTTGCAAGAGTTCGGATGAAGTGGTCAAGAGCTTGACATCAGCTGAATGGGATGAATGGGATACCCCCGACTGCCTCGACTGCCACTGGCAAAGAGGATGGTGTTAAACGCGGCTATTGAGCAGGATCTTGACTCGCGAGGGATCAGGACGATAGACTTCGCGGGAGTTACGCTGACCTTGCCTCCCGTTTACCTCGCAGGGTGGCGTTGAAATATCGAGTAACTTGGCAACGAAGAACTGATCTAGTGCTTGATGGGAGGACCCAATCGGTATTATAACACTCCATTCTTTCAAAACTTGGAGGATGCAGAACAGCCCAACGCATGCTGCTGTTGACTGAGTACCAACCAGTGGCTGAAAGTGAGCCGCGCTGGCACGAATAGTTTCGACAGCTGTCCACAGGAGGCTCTCGGGGATTTGGTAACCCTGCTGCAGGGGTCGGTCCATTGAGTTCCTCTTTGGGATTTCAGCGACGACCCCAGCCATCACCGTCAGGGTTGCACCGTGGAAGACACCCGTTGGAGCATAGCAAACCGGAAGGGGTGGTCCCTGTTACGGACCTGGCCTGTCTTCCGTTAGGTGACAGGGCAGCAAGGGAAGCGAACAGCAGGCCATCCATCGCGGAGTCGCGGTTGTTGCTGAATTTTCGGGGTGAACTGTCCGCCGCGAAAGGGCGCCGGTCCTTGTTAACGAAGGCAAGCCCGGCAACGGAGGTGCATCGGAGGAACAGTAATGCTCGAAAGCGAAGATGGCCGGCCCTTGCACCCAACTGTCTTGTTTGGAAGATCCTCAAAGTGCCGAGGAAACAAAATGCAACCTTGACAAGAGAGGTCGCTGAGAATAGAAGCTCAGGCGGGCCTTGGGAAATGAGAAGAGGGAAGAAACCCAGTGAACCATATGGCTAGAGACAAGACTCCAGGTCACGCCAACGGAACCAGGCGATCTCATGATCGGGACCGAGCCGTGATTGCGTTCTCTCTCGCAAACCCCCGTTTTGGATGGTCTGATTTCCTCTTTCGTCCAGCCAGGTATTGAACCAATCTGCGGGATCAATGATCGACGGCGAAGACGGGGCAGATAGTGTGCGTTCTGGGGAAGGCCGCGAAAGCTTCGGTTCACGGATACAGTTGTCGATAATTGATTGAACTTTCAATATTTCATCTCGATAGCGACCACAGCGTTGGCAACGAGATGAATGGCACGGTGTTCATCCTCTTCTCGGATACCGGCCTGGGGAGGAAGATGAAAACTCAATACTTGAGATTTGGTATTGAGTTTTGGAGGTCTCGGACGATTCATGACGGCAGTGCTGGCCGATCTTCAAGTAGAGCCAGCGCGGGTTCCAACGATATACAGCTGGTCGCAATGTCCAGGGACGCCTGTCGGGAGTCACTTTCCACGGTAAGGATGGGTCTTGATGCCCATGGCGCCGCTGTCTGTGAGGGCGGTCGGAGTTTAGGGGACCACTGCGGTCAGTTATGTCATCCAATCTCCCCCGGTTAGGTCAGACCGTCGGGCCTAGGCTCACGGTCCTCAGGCGGTATCGGCTCAAGACATGCCGCTCGAGCCTCACTATTTGTCTTGGGGCTACTCGTCAGAAATAAACAGTCACCCGGACTGTGAATACGGATATGGATGTCGAAAAAGTTGACAGCTCTGAAGCAAGAAAGAGTGTTGTTTCAGCCATACGCGAGTGGAAATTGGAGGATATCTTGAGGACCTAAAACGAGGGAAAGACGGTTGTATTGCCGGCGACTTTTGGCATGGCTCGTGTTCTCAGATTCAGGTGAGCGTGCCTGATTAGGCAAAGCCCCCCGGCTGACTCGGCTCTTTCTGGCCTGGTGGGCATTCGATAGGGCAAAAGGCCGACGTCATGCTGGCAGGATCAGTCACTCTTCTGTAAAGTCGGTTGCGAATAGATGATGGATTGGGCGCCAGAGCAACCTAGAGTTGTATGTGTTGACGCTTTTGACGCTTTTGACAATGGTGGAAAACATGACCCGCCGGGCAAAGGATCTGGATGAAGTGCACTGTAGACCAAACAACTGGGCTTGTAATTGCATCTGGGCATAGCCGCCTGGCTCTCAACAGTTGGCGACGTTGCCTTTAGCCATTGACGAGTCGTCTCAGGTAAAGGCTTGCTTGCGAAAGACTCGACAGGTTGCGGTGAAAACCCGTGTCTCGGTAAGGCGCCTGGCATCCCGCAGCCATCACATAGTGCCGCGCGGTCTGGCTAGCGCTTCTCGATGGATTGCAGACTGCATGGCCTGTTAGTTAGGCCCGATACGGGTCCGGCCATCTTGCAGCGGTTCGGCCACCCACCGAAGAGAGAAAAGGATGCTTAAATCTAAAACGAAATCTAAACCGAGAAAAGGTTGCAGTTTGGCGATCCACACGCTTGAGGGAGCCGCCGAGTAGCCTACAAGCTGTGGCTGCAAATCAAAGAGCGAAACCACCGCTGGCGTTACGTTGTCGCTGAGGTTGCAATAAGCCGTTGTGTTGCCCTGATCATTGGGTCCAACTTCCAGAAAGAGGTAGACTGATAGCCCACATTCGGCTTCGTTGGCTTCGGGTGGCTGATTTGATGAAACAACCCGTTTCCTCGGAACGAGCTCTTGAGGTGGCAATCAGGCCAAGACACGATGGAAGACTCTTTGGCCTGTTATTCTGGACCGGTCGAAGGCCAAGCATTGTGACGTCTATTGACGTGTGATTTTGCAGTTGACCCGAGGATAGACAGCCGCACAGCCGCACAGCGAGGAGGGACCTTTCACAGGTCTACGAGGCTCACGGCGATAACGATAACTAGTAAAGATATCCGTACAATGCGCCAGAATGAAGCTGGCGAGCAGGCCTTTTTCGGAAGCAAATAGAGGTTTAGACGGATGAGTAAACATTCCCGATAACTAGCAGCGGCCCGTTCGTTTTGGTTGATCTGGGCCGGTTGACCGAGCCGCGATATCTTGGCAACACGGTGGGATTGAATATACCCAACACGATATAATATCGCTTGACAGGCGTGGCGACCAGACTGGGTCCTAGATCGAACGATTTGAAGCGAGCCTATTCTTCTCGGAAGAGTGTAGGCGGCGTGGCAGCGCAGGGAGCAAAAGCGAGGGAAGGAACAACGCTCAAGAGCTATCGTGGAGCTTCTGGCCAGAAGGTCTGAGCATCGTCGACCAGGATGAAAACCAATGTCGATGGATTTGGGCAACAGGGCCGACAGGTCGCGTCATGATCGGGTAAAGCGTGCTTCGAAGATTTGGGCCGGGATCCCAGGTGTTCTTGCTCTCCTCTGAAGGGCATAGCCTCTCGAGATTCCGGCGTGCCCTTGCTGACAGAATTTTTCTTCGGGAGCAAGGGGTCCAGGGTAGCAGGATGGAGAAGGAATGCGATCGAGGTGGACTTTGGATGCAAGTGTATGACCATCTGGATGTGGATTGATGCTTTTTCCTTGCAGAGTTGGGGGTGATGGAGTCGAGCCTCGAGGTGAATGGATGTTGAAGTGGTGAACCAGGGGGAAAGGAGTGGCGGAAGGACCACGCCGTGAACAAGGCGCCAGGGGCACGAAGTGGAAGTGAAAAGTTGTGGAGAGGATGACCCCGGGCAAGCAGGGGTAAGAAGAAGGAGCAGGGGAGAGGAAGAATCCCCTCCTTTTGGCAAGGCAAGGCAAGAGACAGGGGGGAGAAATGGCAGGGATCCAAGGCAACGTCGTGGGTTGCCCTTTCCCAAGAGGTTTCCTTTCCGCTGGTCATTGATTGGCTCCGAGATGCTGTTCCTGCATTAGCGCAACGGAGAAGCTGGCGCTGTGGCTGAGCGTTTCAACTTGGACTGGGCAAGGAGCCCCTCGCTTGGTAGGAGAAGTCTCCAGAGGAGAGGTTGTAGAAGACTCGAGAGGCTAGGAACAATTCAAAGGAGCAGACAGGCGGCAAGGAGTCGGGATGCAAGTAATGAGTGTCTGTGTCAACTGACAAGTAGAAAGCAGCCCAAAGCAACCCTCTGGGCCTCAAAAGAGCCGTTGTTCGGAGCATGACAGGACAGAAAGGGTCATGGGCGGCAGGGAACTACCTAGGAAGTTGAGTTGATTCGTCGAGTAAGTGTCTTTACTTCTTGAGGAATGAGTTCAGGTAAGATAGGTGCGACCAAATTGTCTGTTGTCTCTTTCAACTTTGTGAGGGTGACTTGAGATGATCTGCCAGCTGTCATTGGCTAGCCCCTTTCCACCGCCATGAGCTTCTTTCGTCCAATGCTTCCGTCCTTCAGGTGGGAGGTCCGACGGGAGGTACACCAATGGGCCCAGGTGCCAATACACGGGTACGCAGAGTGGTCCGCGTATTATCGACTTCCATCTATCTGGAGGGCTAGGGTAGGATGGACCAAGAATTGATTCTGCAGATTAAAAAAATGATAACAAGAGTTAACAGTCTCTCCCGTCTCTAACTGTCTGTATCTGTCTGCACTACATACAACTCAAACTTTGCTAAGGTGATCCTTGAGACGCTCCATAGAGGGAGGCTGAGATGGACACGGATGCAGGCTGGAACACGGTTAACATTATCAACCTTTCAAATTAACTTTTGGTGACCTTTTGCTAGGCCTAAAATACACACGGGTAATGATTACGTGCAGCATTTGGTGCCTCCATATGTGCCTTGCCGCCGTGTTGATCTTCCAAAGAGCCCCAAAGTGCTGGATGGGCTGACGTTAGGCGCGGAGGCCAGCGTATCGAGGCATCCTGGGGCATCCAATCCACGCCGTTTATTGGAGGGCGAAAGGCGGCGGCGAGTCCGTTTGAGACGTCCAGATTCGCCGTAGTTCAACCCCAGAGACTCCAGCCCGTAATAATCCACGATTGGCTGGATGTGAAGTGGTGGGGTCTTTGGATGGATGGATGGCGGGGCGGGTACGGAGTACCTACTATGGTAAGGTCTTTCTGCCCCTGACTAAAGTAAAAGCCACCCACCGATGGGAAAGAATTGGTGCACCCTTGGGGTTACAGCGTTTTGTGAGCAGAGTCGCAACCGACAATCAAAAGTGTGTGAAGTTGTAGAGCGATTACCAAATAGACTGGCTAACAATGAGCCATTCCCAATGCGGGAAAAGGTACAGTTACAGCGAGTCGCAGATGGTAAGCCACGGGGTCACTTAGATCGGGGTAGGCGTCCGTTGTCCCCTCAAAAGATCAAAAAAGGCGTCCAGTCTCTACCGCAGTAGGTACTTTGTTCTGCTGGGGGAGATTCAGATTCCCTGTGGCGTCAAGCCTAGATTTCAGACCAAGACCGGTGAGAGAAAAGCAAGCCTCTGGGGAAGGTTAGCGCAAACGGCCAGCCTAGAACTGCACTCCAGACTCTCGTCTCTACTACCTATGCATCCGCACCTTACTTGTACTTTGCCACTGAATGAACACTCAAAAGGTGCATCCGTCTTTTCTTGCAGTCGACAGTCTGCAGACTGCAGGGGGGGCCAGGTAGAGAGATGCAGCTCACAGCTTGGGCCTTCTCACGTCGTCGGCGACGGGGTCTCTTTAGGTAGGCAGCCCCTGTCCATGCTCTTTCCTGTTCCTGAACGGGACAGCATTGGATGGCAAGGGGGAAGGTCACCAAGGGTACGTACCCGACTACTCACTTTACCGCCCAAGCGTCACGGCGGCGGCAAAACAAAGCGCAGAACTGGCAGATGGCAACTTTGCAGTCTGCATCCTTCACCACCGTCCACGGTTCTGCGATCCACGATCCATGGCACACGGTTCCTGTTCGGGTACAGAATGCACAGAAACAGAAAGTCAGACTTAGGCTACCGTCAATGTCTAAGACAGACAGACAACCTGCTGCCCCTCGCTCGCTCGCTCGCTCCCTCCAGTCATCTGAAAGTCGCAGACGGCGGCACCAAAGCGTACGCACCGACCTCATCTCATCTCCATCCGCAACTCACAGACTCGACTCAACATCTTACTCTCACTCTCACTCTCACTCTCACTCTCACCAAGCAAGTCCAACCCACCGACGCTGTCTGGCTTGTCTTGCATTCGCTTCCCGTCCTTTCCGTCCGCCCATGGCTTTGACGGATCGTCGACACCTTCATCTCGAGCATAACAGGCGGTGCTCTTTAGTCTCGGTCCTGCATCAACCGCCATCTCCACATGGCGTCCGTGTTGTTATTCATGAACACTTCTCCATCTTGCCCTCGGCCGTAGCATATCGTCATTGTTCACAGAACACACATCCCCATCTTGCCCCTAATCTGACTAAACCCTATGGCACCACCAAAGCAACTGCGGATCTCTCCAATTAAGCACCATCACACGGTTATGCATGAGCATGAAACTCAGCCTGGCCTACGAGCATGAGCATTACCTTTGTTCCGGAAGGCTGAGCACACTCAATCTCAACATCCATCACTTCCAATTCGTCAACCATGTGCCGTAACCTCCATGTAGTTTATGGAGAGGGCCTCCAGGACTTGAACGAGGAGGCCACTGTTCAACCATTGGGATGGAGACACACACAGAGAGTCCCGTCCTCATGCTCAAGGATCAAAGAGGTTGTCCAGGGGCTGCAGTGCCCAAATGCACCCTTCTCCGTCTGTTCCTGGCTCCGATCCGAGCAACAAGTTGCTCGAATAGGAACCGTTCAACCGCTCAGGTGCCGGATGGGAAGAAGGCAGTGCTGTTTCTGGCCCCATCCTGCAATCCCCCATTTCCCAGCCCAGTCTTCAGTCGTAGCACCATCCAGAAGTCTGCTTGGAGAACCAAACCCCTGTTGGCGGATAGCATGGCCTTCGAAGAGGCCGGCATCAAACCCGGCTTCGCTTTGCCTTGCTTGCCATGCCCTCCGGTGACCTCTCCTCCTTTAGCCTCCATCCACCCATCCCATATCCACATCTGCGCCCACCACCGCACCACGGCCATCCATCAGCCAGTCCACAAGCCCCCATGCCTAGTGCGAGTGCTGTCCACATCCATGGCCATGCCACGGGTCCGCTGTACCTAGTCCGTGCAGCACGGCCTTGCACTTGCACCTCCTGCCTGGATCCACCCCGTCTCCGTCCCTCATCCCCGTTCGGTCCTCTCTCTGCGTCTGTTCAGTCAGTCACTCAGTCTGTCAGTCTCCCACCCCCCCTCCAGGCAAGCCGCCTGCTCAGGTGAGGGTGAGGGTGAGGGTGAGGACTGGGAACCTCACACCCAACCATCCCCAGTGATAGGAGTCGTCGTTCTTGTATATAGACTCTTCCTCTTCCCGCTCATGTTTACTGTTTCGATTCTCATCTTCATCGAACATTCTTTCCTACTTTCGTTCTATCAAACAACAGTCCATTCGCTTTCTGAGTGTAAAGTCATTCGCTTCTTTACTCTCAACTTAATACCAACTTAGTTTTTTGTTTCCTCTACTTTCACTAGAACAAAGTATCTCTCACTCTCACTTCAAAGAAAGAATCCTCGTCCATCATTCAAAATGAAGAACAGCGTTGCTCTTCTGGCCCTTGCCGCCGGCGTCAGCCAGGTCACTGCTACCGTAAGTCATCCTACAACAACATCTCCACAGTCGAATCTCACATGAGATCTCGTCTACTCCTCTCTGGTCGGTGATCACTAACAAGCTTCACAGGGCTGGAACAAGTTCCCTTCCTTCACCTGCCCCGAGAACACCGACAACAAGTGTGACGACAAGCAGAAGGATGGCTTCTCCTGGGGTGACTTGAACACTGGATCGTTCAGCAACTATGGCGGCTTCGACTTCAAGGGCTGGACCTGCGGAAGCGATTTCTCCAAGCGCGATGTTCTCGCTCCCCGCACCTTCGGCAAGGGCAAGGTCATTGAGGGCTCTTGCGGAAGCACCAAGGAGACCTCTCCCTCCTTCGGCTGTGGCTCCGGCACTAGCTCCCCCGACAAGTTCTCCATTGTCCACTTCGACGTCTCCGTCGAGTTCGACTGCGACCTCGAGTTCCACTACGACATGCCCGATGGCTCCAGCTGCAAGCACCGCTCTGCCTGCTCCAAGTCTGGAACTACTGTCAAGAACTCCCAGTGCGGTGGTGCCAAGAACGTCACCATTGTCTACCCTGAGCAGCCATCCAAGCCCAAGACCACCTGCGGTGTTGGCATCCACACCATCAGCTTCGACTGCAGCCCTCCCCAGACCACCGTCCCTCCCAAGACCAAGACCAGCTCTTTCGCCATCGCCACCACCTTGAGCACCAAGACTCACGACAAGCCCGTCAAGACCACCTCCGAGGCCGAGGCCACCTCCACCGCCGTTGTTCCCTCCGTCTCCAAGCCCACCAAGCCCGTTGAGGAGACCACCGAGGCCACCAAGCCTGCCACCACCGGCCCCTCCAAGGAGACCGAGACTGCTCCCGTTCCCAGCAAGGGCGAGACCACCTCCGCTGCCCTCCCCTCCATCTCCATCCCCGCGGACTCGACCACTGCTGTTGTTCCTTCCGTCACCAAGCCTGCCGAGACCCCCATTGTCTCCAAGCCCACTGAGGAGACCACCAAGCCTGTCGAGTCTGTCACCAAGCCCGTCGGCGGTGAGACTACCTCTGCTGCGCTCCCCAGCGCCTCCGTTCCCACCGTCCCCGGCAATGGCACCCAGCCTGCTGAGACCGTCCCCGCGACCGTCCCCGCCGTCCCCGAGACCAAGACCACTGTCTACGACACCACCTCCACCGTCTACACCACCCGCGTTGAGACCGTCACTTCCTGCGCTCCCGAGGTCACCAACTGCCCCGCCAAGTCCCACGCCGTTGTCACCGTCAC